CAAAAGACCCATACTTTGAAAATTGTAAGACACTGATGAAAGAAACTGAAGATGACACAAACATATGGAAGGATATAGCATGCTCTTGGGTTGGAAGAATCAATATTGTTAGAATGACCATACTACCCAAGGCAATCTACAGATTCAATCCCTATCAAATCTTAATGGCATTTTTCACAGAACTAGAACCAAAAAATATCTATAAATTTTTATGGAAACACAAAAGACCCCAAATAGCCAAAATAATCTTGAGAAAGAAGAACAGAACTGGTGTGATCATGCTCTCTGGCTTCAGACTGTACTACAAAACTACAGTAATTAAAACAGTGTGGTGCTGGCACAAAAACAGATACACAGATAAACAGAACAGAATAGAGAGCCCAGAAATAAAACCATGCACTATGATCAATTAATATATGACAAAAGAAGCAAAACTATATCATAGAGAAAAGAAAATCACTTCAATTAGTGGTGCTGAGAAAACTGGATAGCTACATGTAAAACAATAAAATTAGAACATTCTCTAATACCATATACAAAAATAAACTCAAAATGGATTAAAGTCTTAAATGTAAGACCAAATACTATAAAAGTGCTTGAGGGAAACATAAACAAAACATTCTTTGACATAAATTACAGCAATATTTTTTTGACTCCATCTCCTAAAGAAAATAAAGCAAAAATAAACAAATGTGACTTAATTAAAAGGCTACCTTAAAAAGTTTTGTACTGCAAAGGAAACCTTTAACAAAATGAAAAGATAACTTACCAGATGGGAGAAAATATTTGCAAATTATATGACTCATAAGGGATTAATATCTAATGTATATAAACAGTTTGCACAATTCAACATCCAAAATTTTTTTAAAAAATGGACAGAACTGAATAGACATTTTACAAAGAGAATTTTTCATATGGAAGCATGTGAAAAGATGCTCAACATAGCTAATCATCAAGGGAATGCAAATCAAAACCATGATGAGATATCACCTCATATCTGTGAGATTGGCTAATATATATTAAAAAAAAATAGTTGTCAAGGATGTAGAGAAAATGGAATCCTTGTACACTGTTTATGAGGATGTAAATTGGTCACTGTGGAAAACAATATGGAGTTTCCTTAAAAAACAAACAAAAATGTCTAAAAATAGAACTACTGTATGATCCATCAATTCTACTTCTGGATATGTATCCAGAAAAAAAAAAGCCACTTATTTAAAAAGATGCATAACCCACAATGTATGTAGAATTATTTACAATTGCCAAGATATCAAGATATGCAAATCATCTAAGTGCCCATCAACAGATGAATGGATAAAGAAAATGTACACACATATACACACATACACATATACATGGGCTTCCAAGGTGGCTCAGTGGTAAAGAACCCGCCTGCCAAGCAGGAGTTGTGGGTTCAGTCCCTGGATCAGGAAGCTCCTCTGAAGGAGGAGATGGCAGCCCACTCCAGTATTCTTGCCTGGGAAATCCCATGCACAGAGGAGCCCGGCAGACTACAGTAGTCCATGGGGTTGTAGAGAGTTGGACATGACTTAATGATTCAACAACGACATCCAAACAATGAAATACTACTCAGCCATTAAAGAGATAAAACTTTGTTATCTGCAGCAACATGGATAGACTTGGAGGGCATTCACGATAAGTGGGAGAAGGAAATGGCAGCTCACTCCAGTGTTCTTGCCTGGAGAATCCCAGGGACGGGGGAGCCTGGTGGGCTGCTTTCTATTGGGTCACACAGAGTCCGACACGACTGAAGCGACTTAGCAGCAGTAGCAGCAGTAATGCTAAGTGAAATAAGTCAAATAGGGATGGAAAAATACTCTATAATATTACTTATATGGAATCTAAAAGATACAATAAACTAGCAAATGTAACAAAAAAGAAGCAGAATCACAGATACAAAGAATAAACTAGTGGTTGCCAGTGGTATGGGTGCAGTGTAGGAGCTGGGGACTGGAAAGTACAAACTATTGGATGTAAGACAGGCTCAAGGGTGGGCTGTACAACATGGGGGATATAGCCAACATTTTTTTTTTTTGGAAAAGGTCTTAGTTTATTCTTTCATGAAAAATCTGCACAAGCACCACAGATACAGTCACTGCAGAATCTTTACTCCTTCTGTTGTCCAATCTCCAGCTCACTTTTTGCCAGCACCAACATTGGCCTTTGCAGTCCCCCTGACTTTCTTCATTCTGTTCTTGCGTTCTTTTCGCTGTTTTCTTGAGGTCTTTTTCTTCTCATACAGGCCGTGTCTTGCAAGCCTATGTTTGGGCTCATTCTTCTTCACGTAATCCAAGGAATCGTAAATCATGCCGAAGCCAGTTGTCTTGCCACCACCAAAATGGGTTCTGAATCCAAATACAAAGATGACATCTGGTGTGGTCTTGTACATTTTGGCCAGTTTTTCCCGAATTTCTGTTTTAGGTACTGTTGCCTTTCCAGGGTGAAGAACATCAATGACCATTTGTTTCCGCTGAAGCAGCCGGTTGGTCATGAACTTCCTAGTCCGGATAGTTACTGTGTCGTTCATGATGGCGGCTGATCTTCAAGCAGCCAGGGAGGAAAAAAGCTAGCCAACATTTTTTAATAACTGTAAATGTAAAGTAATCTCTCAAAATTGTATAGAAAAAAAAGAGATATACTACAAAAGACTGCTCAATCATTTTTCTTCCTATGTCTGATTGAATGTTAAATTTAAGCATTCAATTCTAAACTTTATCTTAGCACATTAGAGACAATTCAATTAGCTAAGGAAAAACTGGTTAAAAAATAAGTACAAAACAACAAGAACATTATAGGATGTTTGAGAAATGAGGAAATTTTAAAAACTCACTCACAATCTACCTATAGTTAATAACTCAATAAAATTATTGACTGCCTTTTAAAAAAATCATTGACTATTTTTAAATTAATTTAAAAGTTTTTTTTATGTAAAATACATCAGTCTGTACTGACCAGTCATTGCTCAAAGGATAAAATATAAGTCTCATGTTACTGCAAGCAGTTTTAGAAATATAGCAATAGGTGCTGTCTAAAATTGATTGCAAAAACAAACCAACTAAAGAACAGTCCACAAGAGGGAGCAGACAGCAAAGCATGTAGTTGAGGAAACCACGAAGTAATCCTATTGTGAGGACAGAAGTAGAGGGTGGGTCAGCCAGTAGGAAAAAGTGTGTGCCTTCTACCCAATGGATGGTAAAGCAGGTCATCTAACAACATGAAAATGACTCCCAATATATGTGTTCTTGAAAAATTTGTACATGTTATACATCCCTATTTTCCAGGATAATATTCTGGAGATTTTTTTAAGATCTCTCCAGGAGTAGAAAATAGTATGAATAAATCATCAAGCCTCAAAACACCATTTTTTAGCTATATAAATGAAATGAAAAATATGTGAATGAAAATGAAAAATGAAATATATGTGAAAAGAACTTTTGAGTTTGTGCATGAAGTCCTTTAAATTACTGAAAATAATCACAAATTTTAAAGAAATTTGTCAGCTTTAAAGAAGTGTGATCTCAGCTCAAAAGTGGAGGCTGGTCTGACGGAGTTAGCAATGAGACTATCAACTAATCAGTCTTTGCAACTGGTCAATGAGCTCTTTCTTGAAGAATATTTGCATGGCACATCTTCAAATCTGCCACCATCCTCCCTACATGTCACATGAGTCCACTTACCCATATACCTTTAGGAAGCCCTCATCCAGAATTTGAGTTGTCCCTACTTTAATGAGGGGACGTTTAGAAGGAGGATGTTAATGTGGATAAAATATAGTCCTTTTCTCAGCTGTATCTCTCAGGTCTTCCCAGAAATGTAATCTGCTAGAACATCAGGCTTTACCCAGAATATCCACTCTTTCATGCCCACTTCCCTGAGCCTTTTAATTTATTTCTCAACTGTCTGCCAAAGGATTTCTGGCATTTCACATTTGTGTCCAGCAAAGTCATCACTTTCTACAGGTTTCCAGTACCATCCCCACAGTAAATTTTAGTGGTATTAAATAATTAGTAATTTTATGTGGTATTAAATCCTGTATATCAAAAGAAGTTACAAGTCAGTAAAGGCTTTTTTATCTAGTCTTATGGGTTGGGAAGATCCCCTGGAGAAGGAAATGGCAACCCACTCCAGCACTCTTGCCTGGGAAATCCCATGGACAGAGGAGCCTGGCGGGCTATCCAGTCCATGGAGTCACAAAGAGGCAAACACGACTTAGTGACTAAACAACAACAACAAATTCAGTCTTATATGACCCTCTTGATCAAGCACCCTTAAAATCAAGTCCTACCCATGTTAGGGGAAGCACGCTGCTTGAAACCGCCCACCCTGGCCAGGCACCATAGTAACCATTTGCATGAGTTGTTTTACGACAGGTCCTGGGAAGGAACAGGGAACTAATAAGCCTCCACCAACCAGAAGAGTTCGGGAAATGTCAAAAGGAGACACCACCTGTCCGCCCACCTCCCAGAATCCTTCTCTCTGGCATCCATCTTGGCTGAACAAGGCATGCACCACCAGGAAGGACTCTGAGTCAGAATGATTGGCTAAGGGCAACCCGGAAATGAATCCCAGCCCCATAAAACCCGAGACCACGGGCCACGCAGCAGAGCAGTTCTCCTGGGTTCCTTCACCCCACTGCTCTCCACCCGGGTGCCCTTTCCCAAGAAAATCTCTTGCTTTGTCAGCACATGTGTCTCCTCAGACAATTCATTTCCGGCTGTTAGACAAGAGCCCAGTTTCAGGCCCTAGAAGGGGCCCCCCTTCCTGCAACAAATGGCGACTCTGGTGGGGACTCTTCTTCACTGAGACTGACATCCTGACAACTTGGGGTACTCAGGGGCCAGTTTGCTTGCCAATGGACCAGATCCAGCAGCTGCAACTGGGCCTTTTTGTCCCTGGTCCCCTCCTGATGCGGACAACTGGCCAGAGTGCCCCAACTGGTAAGGAACAATAGACTTTATTGACCTCTCACCCCTTCTCTCTCTTTTTTTCTAGTCCCCCGGTCCTGGACACAGGAATCTGGTCAAAGGGCCTCAGCCTGAGCTGAGGATTGGAGACTGATCACCTCCTCTTGGCAGAGAACTCGAATTCTGTTCTGGTCCGATTTCTGGTAGGGCCAAGTTCCAGTCCTCCCTTCTCTGCAGGCCCCGGGTAAAGTCCTGTAATGCTTGGGTATCTGCAGGTGGCATGAAATGTCTGTAAGGCCACCCCTTTTGCCCCTCCTCTCCTGCCGCCTCCCCCTTCTTTCAACCTGGCTTCCTTTCCTCCCTTTGAAATCTTTGAAGACCTGAGATATTTTCTGTATAGGAGGTTTTCTGAGAGACTGTATTCTTGTATTTAAAGGAGTGTCTGATGAGGACTGCCAGGTTTATATGTGTGTGTTTTAACTGTGTTCTGTGTTGTGATTTTTGATGGCCATTTTGCTTTGTCTGGCCACCATTTGGTTTAGACCTGCCGCCATTTTGTTAGAACTTGATTTTCTTTCCCTGAGTTTTGAGACCAGGCTCTCAGGAACACTTACCTAGACCATCTCTAACTCCTGAGACTGAGGGAAAAGGGGAAAAAGCCTTTAAAAATTTTATTTCTTTCAACTGTTTTTTAAAAATAAACTAGTAAATTTTATATTGTAATATCTAATTCATGACTAAACTTAGAAAACCAAGCTAGATCTTGCACTGTGTCTGTTTAAATATGTCTTGGTATGTCTTTGTCTCTGGGTAATATTTTTGAGGTTAATTTGTAAATGAGCTCTAAGTGCTTACAAATCAAATAATTCTAAATTAAACAATAAATTCCAGGTTCATGTGAACTGGGAAATATTCAGTATTAAATACCTGATATTAATGTTTGTTTGTTGACCTATCTAATATACACATGTCTTAGAGTAATTAACACTAAGTATTTTCATTGTACCTAGGTTTAATATAAGTTAAATATTATATCTGTTACAACTTTGTCAACAAGGAAATTACCTCAAGTGAAGAAACTTCTTTAAAAATGTAAATGAGATATGAGCTTTTATATAAACTCTATTAAGAATAATTATTCTTTAGGAATATCTGTCTAAAACAGTCTCTCCAGATTGACATAACTTGAATTTCTAAGGGTTGTGCCAAGTGTGCTAAGTGTTAGAAGTCTATTGAATAGTTAGGTCATTTCTAAATAAAATAAGATTTTGAAACATTTACTACTAAATGAAACATTTACTGCTAAACACTAGTTTCCCTTTACAGAGAAACTAAATAGATTTGGGACTATAAATGAAAAATGTTTAGTGCCATCCTAAAATGTTCTAAGAAACCAAGGGTTTTAGAAATTATCACTGGTATTTATTTATGCTCACCAATCTATAAAATGTTAAAAAAAAAAAATGTTCTTGGTTGCTAAAGGAAAGTAGGAAGTGTGTTTTCAGTTTAAAAAAAAAAGGTATGAAAAAATACTAAAAAAAGTTATGCATGATCAGGGTTTTCTAAAATTGGATTACAGTTAGTTAGATAAATTGATTTTATTAGGAATGACACACCCATAAGAAAACTGCTTAGAGCCAACTAGGTCCCCATGGAAAAGAAATGAAAAAGGCAAAATGGTTGTCTGAGGAGGCCTTACAAATAGCTGTGAAACAAAGAGAAGCAAAAAGCAAAGGAGAAAAGGAAAGATATTCCCATTGACTGGAAAAAGACATAATTTAAGGGACTGTCTCCAAACTGGATGGAAGGACTTTTTATCAGATACTCTTAACTAGCTTATGCACAATGAAACTGAAGGGAAATTAACTCTTAGATTAATTCCCACTTCCAAAGGCCCCTACACTGGATTGGTCTATAGAGAAGACAGCTGACCTGATCTCACCTTAAAATGATGCTCAAACAGGAGAAACTACACTATACCAGGATAAGAAGATGATGACATCAGGGGTAGACAGCTTGCCCAAGATGCTGGACCTGATTTGTATGATCATTTTTAACATTTTCTTGACTTCTTAGATGTTTGCATATAAATCAAATGCTTTTCAGTCATAGGTGTGATCCTATGCTAGTTTTAGAAATCAATCCAATTGTTGGGTTTGTGGCCAATTACCTGTGCCTAGTTCTGGGTTACCTTGGTAAATTTCTCTACTACAAGACTCTAACTGGTTGGCCTTGAGAAAATTTACTTAAAAAAAATAATTATAGTCATATTCAGGTCACTGTGATATTACTAGGTGGGATCCCCTCATTGGGCCAATTAATAATGCCTGCTCTGACTCTGGCCATAAATTTGAGCTTTTTCTATTACTTAAGCTCAATCAGAGCAACAAGAAAAGTTTCAGCAAAGAAGAAAAAAATCTTCCACAATTATGGGATGGATTTATACAGATAACACCAGACTATGGTAATTTAGGTTTAAAGTCTCCTCTGTGTTGGAAACAATTAAATCATACTAAGGATAATCAGTGTAGTAACACTAGAAAACTGGGCTATGTGCCTTATAGACAGTGGTGCCAATATATAATTTCCCTGGAAGATAAAGATTCTACAGAGTAGACTAAGTCAGATGACCTGAGATATACTGGGCTACGTCTAATGGAAGCTCTTAACTTAAGTCTTACTTGTGATTTTACTAATACTGCTGGCTATGTTATTTGTATTTCACCTGTTTTACAAATTGCTGTTTCTTACACTGCCAAATGTGTGTCTGAGGCCTCTGATAGAATAATATATAGTCCCATATCAGTCCTGGGTGTTCATTGGAAGGACTGATGCTGAAGCTGAAACTCCAATACTTTGGCCACCTCATGTGAAGAGTTGACTTTTTGGAAAAGACCCTGATGCTAGGAGGGACTGGGGGCAGGAGGAGAAGGGGACAGAGATGGCTGGATGACATCACTGACTCGATGGGCATGAGTTCGAGTTAACTCTGGAGTTTGTGATGTACAGGGAGGCCTAGCATGCTGTGATTCATGGGGTCGCAAAGAGTCGGATACGACTGAGTGACTGAACTGAACTGAGACCTTGAGCCTTCGTATTTATGACTATTGTGACATATCAACAAGCTAAATGATACACCCATCAACATTGGCTAAATCTGCCCAAATGTTCTAAATGCTTTTACTTGATCTTTTAGATAAAACTTCCTAAATTGAATTATTTTGAAGTTCCTTTGACCTCTAGCTAACTTTGGGTTGTTTCAGAGGGCCCCTGAAACATCCCAAAGAGAGATATTAAACAATGTTTATTTGGTTGGTTAAATTACATGAAAAAGATTATCAAATGAATAATAAATCCGCTCATGTTATAATGTATGGTAAAATTACTAATACAGATATCCTAGAAATTACATGGAGTTCTTAACATTTTGATATGTCCTGGTAGTCTAATGAAAAACCTGATGACTTCACAAAAGTTAACAAAAGGACTGAATGAACCAGCATATATGCTTATAACTTTTATGGTTTCTATCTGAAAAATTACAGGTTTGAATCTTGTGGTTTTTGGGAGTAGGGAAAACCTTCCTCTCAAACTAATTATGAAAATAACTTGGTAAAATTATACATTATAAACAGAACAACTACATTTTCTCTCTATCTGACTCCTCCAGAAATTTAAAACTCTTAGGTTTCCAGTAAGTTAATCAAATGAGCTAGGAAGGTATTCTCTTTAACAGGTACAAAAAATCTCAAGGAATTTATGAGACCTTAAAAAGGGAAGAATTCACCTAGATTTGTTAGGCAAAATCTGTGATAAGCCTTTGATGTGAGTTTCCCAGCCCTGTTTTATTTTAAAAGTTCAGTTTGAGATTCTATAAATGTTTCAGCAAAGTAAAAAGTCTATGATCAATTATGGTTATATAAATCATCAGACCAAAATTAGTGAGAACAGACCTTTTTGGAAACAAGTTAGCCTTAATTGGGTTATATTTGATTAAAATGAGGGTAATTTTAGGGAGAAAAAGATGTTTCAATAAATGTTGAATCCCAGTTTGTTAATGGAGGTCTACCAATGGAGGTAGTAAGACTCATTTCTTGGATAGTTCTTTGCTGTTATGTGATATTAATGTAAAATTTAATTGAATTCTTAAAGAACACCCTAAGTTTTTTTCTGAAGCTTATCTCAGTAATCTATCTTTGGATGAAGATCAGATGCCTCATGACCTGCAACCAGGACTGGAAAAAGACATAATTTAAGGGACTGTCTCCAAACTGGATGGAAGGACTTTTTATCAGATACTCTTAACTAGCTTATGCACAATGAAACTGAAGGGAAATTAACTCTTAGATTAATTCCCACTTCCAAAGGCCCCTACACTGGATTGGTCTATAGAGAAGACAGCTGACCTGATCTCACCTTAAAATGATGCTCAAACAGGAGAAACTACACTATACCAGGATAAGAAGATGATGACATCAGGGGTAGACAGCTTGCCCAAGATGCTGGACCTGATTTGTATGATCATTTTTAACATTTTCTTGACTTCTTAGATGTTTGCATATAAATCAAATGCTTTTCAGTCATAGGTGTGATCCTATGCTAGTTTTAGAAATCAATCCAATTGTTGGGTTTGTGGCCAATTACCTGTGTCTAGTTCTGGGTTACCTTGGTAAATTTCTCTACTNGACTCATTGGAAAAGACCCTGATGCTGGGAGGGATTGGGGGCAGGAGGAGAAGGGGACGACAGAGGATGAGATGGCTGGATGGCATCACTGACTCGATGGGCATGAGTTTGAGTAAACTGTGGGAGTTTGTGATGGACAGGGAGGCCTAGCGTGCTGCGATTCATGGGGTCCCAAAGAGTCGGACACGACTGAGCAACTGAACTGAACTGACTGATGAGATCGATGATGGTAACAGTGTAACTCTAGATATGGGAAGAAACAACAAGAGGGAATATTCTCCTGAACCAAGAGGCTAGTGGGACAGGTGGTCCAGAGAATTTTGGAAACTGTTTTATGGCCTAGTCCAGTAATAGCACATTGAGTGTGCTGTCAACAAAATCTTTGCCAAACCTGAGAATGGACATTCTCAGCACCATGGGATAAAATGGTCATGAAATGCTCCCTTCAAAATCATGGTCAAGTTTATGAGCAAAAAGGGGCTCTGCCAACTGAAGACTGACACTTGCCATCTACATCTACAGAGATTAAATCATGGCTACTGCAACTGCTGACTTTCAATGCCCCTGAAAGGAGTTCAGGGTGAAAATCAGGGATGAGGCACTCTATGCTCTGGGAAAAACTGGCAGAACAGACCTTCAGATAGTTAGATCTTTTCAGGAGAAGATTTTATGAGTTCCAAGTCTTGCATCTTCTCATACCTAGAAAAACACTGACATCATTAATGATGACATCTGCTTTGGCTATTAAGGAAAATTTTACAATTAAAAGTCAAAATAGAGTAGCTATGGTTCAGACATCCTGGGAAATAACTAGGTGATACTATGGGTATAATTTCAGATTAGATGTTGTATTGCTAAACACTTGAGTTTTCTGAGTCGTGTCAAGCTTAGATGCCTCCAGTCTCAAAACAACGTCTGCTGGAAGCTAGTAACTGCAACCTTACTCTTGATAAAACTAGGCAACTGGCTACCTGGCTACAAGTCTCCTTGAAGTGCCAGGTCCAGACTGGGTTTCAGGCCTATTCTTCTAAAAAGAAATGAGATTTATTTTGTCTATTAAAATTACAGTTATCCCTCCTCCAGCTACTAATTGGGTCTGTTACAACAAAATGGCAGACCAAGGGATTGAGATTTTAATCATAAGGCTCAGATCTAGGACTTGGAACTCAGTGATACTTTTAATTCAGTGCCTATTCTCCAAGCTGAGGCAGTCCATTTTGACAGAAAGTTATCACAGTCATAAATTAAAACTGAGCAGGATTCTGGGTCTCTGGAGTACAGATCTGCTGTGTGTTCTCCATTTCTTATCTGTAGGATATAGGCTTCTTTCAGTCTCCTTGATATTCCCTGAGTTCCAAAGCATGGATTCAAACAACTGCTAATCAGGGAAGGGAGGGGATACAGAAACAGAGGAGAAACAATCAAATGGTGGTACAGCCTTGAGACAGGCTCCTGGTTCCTACTCAAAGAAATATGCATAACAATGTCTTTGAGTTCTTCTACAGAACTGGAGCCGCCACCCAGGTGGAGGATGGTGACTTCAGACTGAACACAAGATTCCTGGAGCACATCTCTGTTGCTTCACCACCAACCAATCAAAAAAAAAAAAGTCACAAACCCTGCAGCCCTCACCCCAAATGTTACCTCCTGTTTCTGGGGACCAGTGATGACCATCCTGTTAGGTGTCCAGTTTGGCCCCTTTCATCGCTGAGAGGAGCCAACAGTTTCAAACTAAATTGCTGTTATTACAAGCGTGAATGCTGGTTTCAGGCAAAAAAAAAAATACCTTGACTTAGATCAGGTAGAAAGAGACTTCTGCTCTGCTAGGCAGGCCTAAGCCCATGCACAGCAGGAAGAAGTTACAGAAGAAAGAGACCTCTGCCCCAGTTCCCAAGTAGTATCTTGAGTATGAAGTCTCTCAGGGGGGAGTTGTTAGGGGAAGCACGCTGCTTGAAACCGCCCACCCTGGCCAGGCACCATAGTAACCATTTGCATGAGTTGTTTTAGGACAGGAGGTCCTGGTAAGGAACAGGGAACTAATAAGCCTCCACCAACCAGAAGAGTTCGGGAAATGTCAAAAGGAGACACCACCTGTCCGCCCACCTCCCAGAATCCTTCTCTCTGGCATCCATCTTGACTGAACAAGACATGTACCACTAGGAAGGCCTCTGAATTAGAATGGGTTGGCTAAAGACAACCCAGAAACTAATTCCATCACCATAAAACCTGAGACTGTGACCCATGTGGCAGAGCAGTTCCCCTGGGTTCCCTCACCCTCCTGCTCTCCACCCGGGCCCCCTTTTCCAAGAAAATCTCTTGCTTTGTCAGCACGTGTCTCCTAGGACAATTCATTTCTGAGTGTTAGACAAGAGCCCAGTTTCAGGCCCTAGAAGGGGTCCCCCTTCCTGCAACACCCGTACTACCCCAGTTCCTGCCAATTTCCAGCAGATAATTGCTATAGCTCTTTTGACATAAAGTCTTTCTCCCTTAAGATATGTGACCTGACTAAGATAAGCTGTTACTTATCCCTTGCTAATGGCTTGAAGACAGGAGAGAAAGTAAGGGTAGATCCTCATGATGGCCCCCTATTGCCCTGGTTGGGAGAGGTTTTGCAGTGTCTTCCCTTGCAGGGAGACCATAAGCTCTTAACAGGGAGAACAGGCCACCTACATGCACTCTGAGGCTTCAGAGCAATCTGAGGAGTGAAATGTTCAGATTTGTTCACCAAGAACCCATGGGTCAGGGTCCCAGGTTCTCCCACCTGCTCAGCTGAATATTAAAAATGTCACTGAAATCTTAAAACTCTTTATATCCTTTAGTTTATTATTTTCTTCTCTCCCCCTGCAGGAGATAAAACCCTCTGGCTTTCACACTTAGTTTTCAATTATTTGTTAAAAGCTTTTAGGCTTTCAACATCTTTCAGTAAGGGTATGAATGGAATTTAATTTCAGTCAACAGATTCTATTGGCCTTGTATGCATAGTTTTCTCTGCATTTGCTATCAGTGACAAGGTGAAATTTTAGTAACTGGACTGCCATCTTGAGCTAGACACTATCTAGGCCCCATAGTCCTCTTGATATGTGGTTATCATTTCCAGCTAGGCAGAAAGTGATCCCATTCTAAAACTTCAGTTCTGGCATCATCGAGTCCTCTGAGAATCAGATACCCATATGAAGTTAGGAGTACAAAAGTTACATCTGGGAGACATATCTGGGAAAGGAAATTGGAAAAAGCGGTATTGGAAAGGGACAGTCATCAAATCAGGTGTAGGTCAGTCTGCAAAACCTGTAATGAATTTGAGAAGTCCCACTCTGAGCAGAGATGCCTGTCCTGATGCCACAGCCTGACTCAGTCACTGACTGGGGCCTGAGCAGAGATGCCTGTCCTGATGCCACAGCCTGACTCAGTCATTGACTGGGGCCTTTCTGTAGAAAGCATGTCCTCAGTTTCAAAGCTGAGGTGGACTTGATGGAGTTTAAGCTGTAAAGCTTTCCAGAGTCCTTGCTTGAAGGGGGATCTCAAGGCACTTCTATGTCTACCATAGGCTGTTAGTCACTCAACTGTGTCCAACTCTTTGCAACCCCATTGAACATAGCCCACCAAACTGCCCATGGAATACTCTAGGCAAGAATACTGGATCCCGACTCAGGGATGGAACTTGGGTCTCCTGCACTTCAGGCAGATTCTTTACCATCTGAGCCACCAGGTAGCTCAATAACCAAACAATTGAATGAATGAAGGAACAAATAAAATAAATATTCTGGCAGCAGCGATTTCACTAGTAAAGCAGGATGTTCTCGATAAGTCCATGACATACGATAATCAAAGGTCAATTTGGGTTTATCTTCCAGGTCATGATATGAAGACTCTGAACAATAATCTGTAGCAGATCTCCCAATGTTAATTTGTGGAACCTGGGTTGTACTGTGAATCAGAAGCCAGTTTCAGAGTGATCCATTAAGGACAAACACACCATTGAATTTGTAGGACATGAATAATCCATTTGTAATTCAATATCACAAATGCTTTTTCCAGCTGCACTTTATTCAAATACCAGCCTTTGCACAAATGCCATTGTCTTCTGTGGGGAGCATTTATTATGTTATATGTATATAAACCAAATTCACTTCAATTCTTCACAAAGTCATAGGACACCATAACAGGGGATATAAATAAACATAATAAATTCATCCAGACAGGATGAACCAGAAACATGTAAGAACAGTTTTAAAGTAGAGCTGTCAGTGAGAAGACTAGTGAGAGTTTGGTAAAACAATAGAACTGGGATTGGTGGAGAAAAAGTGGTAACTATCATTCAGGGTGTACAAAATCCACTTTCAGAGACTAAACCCAGAAACAGAGTGTCACAGACTGGAAAAAAACATTTAGGAAAAAACACATCAATTAGGTGTTAGAGGATATTAATTAGGTATTAACTTATTTAGAGAGACAAGAAGATTTAGAAAGACAAGGAGTTTCTAATTGAAATCTTATATTGCATTTGCTAAGGCAGGTCTATTGCAAAGTAATGAAGATCATGCAATTATTTAAAGGAGAGACAAGCCCATTTTCTGAATCCTTTTTCTTTTCTTTTCCCAGGGGCATGGATCTGAGGGAAGGACAATGAAAAGACTGAGAAATCATGTTCTTAACTAGGTAGTTGGAAAGCTCTTTATAGAATCAGCCACAAGAAGTAAGCATGTTTGTGTTTATCTGTGCATATACTTTAGGGAAGGCAAAATAATTTGCACAAAAATTGGGAGCTACACACTTCATAGAAAGCTACTATTAGCAGATTTTGAAAAATCTGATATTGCAAATATCTGAAACTTCTCTTCAGTTCCCATGTTGTAATTTTATGCTCTCCAAGCAATCTTCTGATTATAGCTTTTGTCCATGGAGAAAGAATGCACACAGGAGCTTAGTCCCTATACAGCAGCCTTGACGATTTTTAATGTAAACCAGTAAATCAGTGATTTTATCATAGACACTGGTGTCAGTGAGTTTAATTGAATTCCACCTGTGAGAAATTTGTGAAGCATCATTTGGTATACAAAACATTGGGTTTCTGTAGCTATGTAGTTGAAGGCTGGCCTATGAAATGAGCTGATTTCACTAACATAAGAGCCAATTTACAGGGACCTGTCTAATAGGCTTCCATGGTAGCTTAGACAGTAAAGAATCCATCTGCAATGCAAGAGACCCAGGTTTGATCCCTGGGTCAGGAAGGTCCCCTGGATAAGGGAATGACTAGCAAGTCCAATATTATTCCCTGGGAAATCCCATGGACAGAGAAGCCTGGCAGACTACAGTCCACGGGGTCACAGAGTCAGACATGACTGAGCAACTAACACTTTTCAATAGGCACATGATCCCAGATCCCTCATTTACTGTGAGATAGCTTTGAAGTTTTCAACTAACTTTGAGTATAAATAATTATTATAATCTTTTAGAACTTAAGCTCTATGAGTAAAGCAACTTTGCTTTACTCACTGATGTATCTCAAGTGCTTAAAAAAATGCCAAGCATAGAGTAAGCACTCAATTAATACCTGTTGTTAACAACTCACTCTCATTAAATAACATTGTTTCTATGTATACTTTTACTGTAAGTTTTAGATAAATTTATAGTTCTATAAGCAATTTGGTATGATGGATTTATTAATATTTTGTGAAGTATAGAGCAAAACACAACTCCCTATTCTAGAATTTATTACAATAAGCAACATACTGGGTTGGCCAAAAAATTCATTCAGGTTTTTTCATAACCTTTTGGCCAACCCAATATACTGTCAGCTCTTAAAATAACAGTTAACATATTAACTTATCTAAAATTATCTAGTTTACTCTAAACTATTTATTTTCTTCATTGTATTTTTATCCATATTAGAATTTTCTAAGGGTGATGAGTTATTTCCATATTTGATAGGCTGTTTTCTCTAGAGAGGAATTTACCAGGTGTTGAGAGACTTCATGGGTAAAATTGTAAATTTCAATATAAATGGAAAAGTTAGTACAAACCGATTCTTGTCCTAAGAGTGAGTGCAGACAAGGGTTTGGTGCTTATAAGAGCTGGAAAATTTGGCTTCCAATTTTCTGTTTTTCTTGCAGCAACAAACTACTTTTGAATTCTAATGATTTCAGGTACTCCAATGTAACATACTCAAAATCAAGGAAAAGAATGTTTACACTAGTCACATTGTAAATGGATTCTTACAGTTTCTTTAAGTATGTTGTTTTTCTAAATATTTAAAGATGATGGAGCCATCTTTCAAAGTGAGGTACTCTCAAAGAAATGACTAAAGTACAGAGTCAAAAAGTGGTGGAGGGCATAAACCCAAGCACAGTGCTGGGCTGTCATGGTAGTTGCTTTTGATTGCCTGGCATGGTTCTTGCCTGATCTTTCTTCTAGTCACGACTCTGACCTTGGTGACAGGTGAGCCTGGCATACTTCACAGTAATGTCCAGGCACACGACCCAGCAGGACCAATCAGTACCCTTCTCTGGAATTTTATATGAATGTGTGTGTGTGTGTGTGAGCTGCTCAGTCGTGTCTGATTTTTTGTGATCCCAAGGACTGTAGCCCGCTGGCCTCCTCTGTCCATGGCATTCTCCAGGCAAGAATACGGGAGTGGGTAACCACTCCCTTCTCCAGAGGATCCTCCTGACCCAAGGACTGATCCTGGGTCTCTCACATGGCAGGCAGATTCTTTACCGTCTGAGCCAATAGGGCTCTTTTATATGAATAGTGGGAAGTTATTCCTGCTCTAGAAGTTGATCTACATAAAATAAACTTGGAATTTGGGGCAGCATTTTCCCAGACCATGAAACAGAAGTTTGTCAACGGAAGGAAGAAACACACCAAGAAAAGCTGAACTGAGATCAAGAGAACGGTAGTTGCAATGGAACTGGTTTGATGTTGTTTAGTCACTAAGTCATGTCTGACTCTTTGTGACCCCATAGGCTATAGCCCATCAGGCTCCTCTGTCCATGGATCCTTCAGGCAAGAATACTGGAATGGACTGCCATGCCCTCCTCCAGGAGGTCTTCCCAACCTAGGGGTTGAACCCAGGTCTCCTGGATCACAGGCGGATCCTTTGTCATCTGAGCCACCAGGGCAGCCCTTAGTTTGCTTGGGCTATCATAATGACATATCATTAGTAATATTTATAGGTATTTATTTTTCACAGTTGCAGAAGTTTGGAAGCCCAAAGTCAAGTGCTGGCAGATCTGGTTTCTGGTGAGCGCTCTCTTCCTGGCTTGTAGATAGCCACCTTCTTGCTATGTCCTTTCCTGGCCTTTCTCGTCCTCTTCTTCTAAGTACCCCAGTCGATCTGATTAGAATCTCATCCTTATGATCTCATTTAGCCATAATTACCTCCGAAAAGACCCATCTCCAAATATCATCACACTGGGAGGTGCAGCTTCAACATTTGTATTCTCAAAGGACACAAGTCAGTCCACAGCAATCCTGGAGTGAAATGCCATTTCTCCACTTTTGCTTGATCTCTCCCTTAGCAGTGCCTTTATGCTGTGTCTCCTCCACTTGGCCTTTAATGGTTACTCATCCATAGCTCGGCTAATCATCATTTCTTCGTGGGAACTTTCTCTGACCTCCATGATTAGGTGAAATATCTTTATCACACTCTTATTTTATGTTCTCATACTGCTCCATGCTTTTCTTTTGCAGCACTTTCATAACTGTCAGGTTATTTGTGCAAGAATTTGCTCTAGGTCTGCTTTCCTAGTTTGACTTTTATTTCCTTGGGGCCAATGACTATGTCTTATGGGCTCACCCGTGTATCTGCAATGTTATCATAGCACCTGGTATGTTGTAACTAATAAGAGCAGTTTCTTGACCAAAAAGATAACATATAAATATATGAGTCATTTGGTTATAAAATAAAAGACCAAGTATTTTCCAAGCAGAGTTAACAGCTCATGCAAAGACTCTGAAATAATTAGGATCATCTCTCATTGAAAAGTGGAAGTGTTCGTCATTCAATCGTGTTCGACCCTTTGCGAGCCCATGAACTGTAGCTTGCCAGGCTCCTCTGTCAATGGAATTCTCCAGGCAAGAATACTGGAGTGGATTGCCATTCCCTTCTCCAGGGCATCTTCCTAACTCAGGGATCGAACCTGGGTCTTCCACATTGCAGGCAGATTCTTTACTGTCTGAGACATCATGGAAACCCTTATCTCAGTGAAGGAGCTATGAAAAATGGACTACATTGAGCGAAACAAACAGGGTGAAGATGGTAGACAGCTTAGAAGGAATATGATTCTGCACGTTCTTATTTTTCCTGTGAGGGAATTTTGTCTTCTTTCCTAAGAGAAATGAGCAAATATTGACAAATTTTAAGCAAGAAAATGGCACACTCTGGTTTGCACATTATTAGAATCTCTCTGATTCCGAAGTGGGAAATAATTGGACAAGATCAAGATGGATATAGGTCAACAGAGTGTAAAATCTAGAAAGGAGATAAACTGAACTGAGGTAGTGATATGGAGGTGGGAAACTAAGAATATTAAAACGTGCTTGAATGAGGACATACAATAGTTTGTATTTGACCTATAGTAAAGCAATCCAATACTTCCATTATAACCAGCTAATTCTCCGCTTTGCAAATAATATGTCAATTTTCCACTTATGTCAAGACTACTCAATATATGCTGTTATGGTTAAGGTTATTTAGTGCCAAGAAAATAGAAATGAGGAGTAGCAGTAATAAATGAATGGAAAGTCAATGATCTGCTATTAAAATCCTTCAGGCATTCAATTTTATGGAGGCTCTGCAACCAGCTAAGAAAGAAACCAATTCATAAAAATGCATAAATGCACTTCATAATGTTCAGGGTATGTTCTCTTATATTTAGCTGTATTCATAATAAATTCCAGAGCTTAAATCAATAGGTATATGAATTAGAAGTATTTTACTCAGGACTTTGTTTTATAGTCTTTTGGTAGAGTATGAGATGCTTAATTTCATTAAACAAAGGGAAAAAAATTTACAGTGAAGCTTATAAAAATTCTCAATAATCAGAAAACATCAGTAAAATTTTTGAAGGATATAAGCTGCTTTGTTCTTTCTTTTGTTTTTCCATTGACTTTCAGTCAACAGTTAGGAGTCAGGAATTTGCTTATTATTTTAAAACTAATTTAGTGACTAGTTAAGTCACAGTTAAAGACTGGAAGAAAATATCTGCATAATGATATATTTAGGTCAAGATGGGTGACCGAATACTCAGGTTTTTGTCTATTCCTTTTGGAAAACACATTGAAATGCCAAAAATAAATATTAATAAAACAATACCTATGTCAGTGATTTAGGTCATACCTGAATGGTCTAGTGGTTTTTCCTACTTTCTCAAGATCATTGAAAAAGCAAGAGTTCCAGAAAAACATCTATTTCTGCTTTATTGACTACGCCAAAGCCTTTGACTGTGTGGATCACAATAAACTGCAGAAAATTCTTCCAGAGATGGGAATACCAGACCACCTGACCTGCCTCTTGAGAAACCTGTATGCAGGTCAGGAAGCAACAGTTAGAACTGGACATAACCAGTCCATCCTAAAGGAGATCAGTCCTGGGTGTTCATTGGAAGGACTGATGCTGAAGCTGAAACTCCAATACTTTGGCCAGCTGATGGGAAGATCTGACTCATTGGAAAAGACCCTGATGCTGGGAGGGAT